TTCATCTTTTTCAAAATTAAAATTTTTTAAAATGTCCTTCCGAAGCGGGCAACGGGATTTCAATTCCGAAGACCGACAGCTTCTTACGGGCAAACCCCACACAAAAAATAGTGCCGACACCTGTGCATATGATGGATCTATAAATTTCTAATTATGTATTTATAACTTATGGCCATCTTCTTTTAAAATCTATTATCTTTACCTTACTTTTATGTATTAATATAATATAAGGGGTAATATTTCTTACCTTTTATATATATACTTTTGTGCATATAATAATGATAATTTGTTCCTCTTTGTTCTTCTCTTATTGTTTTATCTTCTTCTCATTCTGCATGTCATTCCCAACCATAAATAAGTAAATGATTGAATTAGTGGGAGGTGTCTCCTTGTTCTTCTACTTCCTTACTCTTTATTATGGGTGGAGATTTGGAAAAGTTTTATTTGAGCATCTAATTTATATTTTAAATTTATTTAATCAGTATCTAACTTTATTTTACATGTCTTTACCTCCTATGAAATAAGAAAAAGCCCTTCAATTTGTTGTAGAAGGGGCATAGATCTACTTACATCGAATAAAATTTTTACTATTTTGTATATTTTATCTTAAAAGAACAACTTTTGTTCTCCCTTTGTAACCTTAATCAAGGTAAGTGGATAAGAAGTATGCATGATTTAATTATTGAAGTCTACATCATCATTTTTACACAACTTTGTTGGATGAATAACTATCTACAACGAATAAGTTAGGAGTTAATTTATCGCAATGATCTGCATATCTATAAAAATAATGGTTCATACTTATATATTTATCAATTAGCAAAAAATAAGAATTGTTTGTTTGTCAGCTCCATTTTAATCATCAATTTTAATATCAGTTATGCTCTCTCATGAAAACTTTGTACATTTTCTGCTTAAGTCCTAGACAACTTTATATGTCGAGTACTATAAAGCTATGTGTTTGGGGAATTATACTTCAAATTAGTGGCCATAAAGCTCACCATTTCCCTTATCAACCCTCTTTATGTCATTTATTACGACATTCTACCTATGTGTATATAAAAATGGTTCTACATTTCTAACTAATCCAAGTATTTCAGTAATTTATATATATATATA